TCTTTTCACCATATTCCCAAGAATAAGATCAGAAGAAGGCAGTGGTTGACGAAAATACGGAGAGACCCTGGAAAATGATTCATAGTAAGTACAAAATAATTACGGCACATGGCATAGTCTAGATCTGCCGTGAAATGTACAAACTGTTCACTATGCAAGGTTTTAATATTAGGGGTACATGTACAATGTGAATGTCACACACACACATTCAAACTAATTACAACAACTGAAATATATTTAGTGTTTAAATATCCATTTCAGGTGCTGCCAATTAAGAGTCAGAGAGCACCTCCCATAAGGAATCTACGACAGTCACCATCTCAGATACAGTAAGAATGTCAGATCGTATTAAGTTAATTTAACCAACTGACATGGTTTTCACGAATTTAATACAACTGAACTTTGACCTATATGCTATGTTATTTACATATAAAAATATTGATTGCACATACTGTCTAAAATATGAAATGATGTTAGACTCTACTCCTTGATGTATATTTGTAATTCCAGAGATATATTTATTGTTTGTGTGGTCGAAGAGATACTAGTGATGCTTTACAATGCTTATATTACAGTGGAGCAGAGAGTGATACAGCAGCCACTGACCCCCAGTCCTACATAGAACAACTCCATCAGAAATTACATGAACAGGAGAGGCAACTCAAGGAAAAGGTTGACAAAATAGAAAAATTGAACAGAAAACTTGAACTTGAAAAGTTTGGAGTTTGTAAATTCATGTATGATGATAAAAATTGATTGCACATTTTACAGTATTCCATCATTTCAAACATTGGCACTGATTAGCTGGAACTTTTTCATTTGTTGAATATCTTCCCAGGTTTTGTGATGTACCTTGCCCAAACAGCACAACATTGACAGACATGAATGTAAATGAAATTGTTTCGTGCTTTTGTGTTGTGTAGATGATGGATGAAAAAAGCGACAGCTGTAAAACATACACATTGATGAATAAAAGAAAGGTATTTCATAATGGCATAGTTGTAGATGTAACTCATTTGCTGCTGTTTAATTAATAATTGATGAAAAAGAATGTATTTCATCCTGTTTGAAAAGAGTTAGTTGGGAACCAGAAAAACCAGGTAAGAGATTATGATAATGTGTAAGGGGAGAAAACTATGATAAATTATTAATTGATCCAGCTGTAATTGTTGCCATTCATGTCAGACTAATCTAAAAAGATATTTCTATCAACAAAAATATTGCACCCAATATATTTTCAATTTGCATCCTCTGAAAATATTATTGTTATTCATCAGTGTTACAGTTGGAAGCTATTGTGAATGTGTCCATTGTTATTGGACTTTTAAGACACCATTTCAGAATAAACTTTTATTAACTGCACTCCAGGTGTTCGTTATTTTTTTAGGCTAATTGTTTGCTGTAGTGTGAATCCTGTTATGTTAACCTGATAATATGTTCTCCTTAAAACCTCTACAACAAATCAATTTTTTGGGTATAGTAACACAGTATTCAAAATTGATTCAAATATTCCCCATGCAGGTACCATAAGTCCATTTAGGTAAAATAATTATTCAACTCCAAATCAGTCAAAAAAAGAACTTGAAAAAAATCATCCAGTTTTGTCTTGCACATTGTGTCCCACTCATGTTGATTGAAATAAATGGTTTCTACATGATGATGTGGCGATTCGTTTTTCCTCTGCGATTGTAACATGCAGCTACGCGCACATCGCCATCACCAGTAGTCCTGTACAACTGAAAATAAATGCGTGAATAAGTACCCTATATCTATAAAACAGAGTCGATAGGACAAAGCATTTTAAACAGAAAAAATACCAAACAAATAATTTCATCACATGAATAATACAATTTTGTTTGGCCAGATCCACTCGAGGAGAGCTATCTTGATCTACATATTACTTATCGTGATGTGTCGTGATGTACAGTAATTATTCACCCTTCAATCCGTGGATATGCTACAAAAACATTTGTGTAGCCCTTCCCATTTCTCTGCGATTTCCCTGAACTACTGGACAGTTTCGTAATGTACCGTTCAAGGGAAATTTGAAACCAGGAAGTATACATTGAGATTTGTCGCCATTATGCGATTGTGTCCTTGCCCAATTTAGCCTCGTTTTGGTACAGATATGAATATTCATGAGGCCTCATTAAGAATGGTCTATACTGGAAATCCAATTAAACATATTCCTAAAATTCTCAATAATTTCTGGTCATACTATACTTACCTCCATTTGCAAACACTATGCCTTCTTGAACCTTTACAGACTCTCCTTGCAGACTTTCTGCCACTGTTCAATTATTGTATTTTCAAACATGCTTGTACATCTCTAAGCTGACAAATTACATCTGATTGTGTATACTATTGGCCTTTCGGTCCGCTATTGACCTATAGCCATATGTGCCTTTCTTGAACTTTGCATCTCAAACAATCATATTAACTATATCTGATTTTATGTATCACTGGCCTACAACCTTGAAGTTTACTTTCTTCAACAAACATTGTGCCATTCTTGAACCGGTTTGTACCAGCTTGAGATAGAGTTTATCTGATTTTATACAGCAGTTCTATATAATATTGTATATCTGTACAGCCATAGAATTACTTCCTTATACTTTCAATGTCCATCTCCTTGACCTTTGTTATGAAGCCTGTACAACATGCTGATGACTGTCCATACCCATGTGATTGTACCCATTATGCTGGAATAAAAAAACAAAAACAACTTTAATAAAAATAGAGAAGAAAGTCTTGGTCCACTTTATTCACACACACAAGTAATACATCGGTGTATATGTCACTATCAGTGTACTTCAGGAAAACATGAGTCAGTGTCAAATGTTGTGAAATAGTTTAATCATATATAAAAGCCCTGTGGAAATGTGGAGAATCGAACCTGTATATTTGGCCTGAAAATCTAAAACCTCTTGGCTACCCACTGCTTTCTAAACCCGAAGACGAGGCAGTTACTTATTATCAATGGTAATTTTCATTTGGAGCATTTATTACACGCTTTTTTAAAATTTGTTTATAATTTCAAACTTGCAGTGATGATGTTCATTGTATCCGTCATAGCCAATATCCATGTTCTTATTCTGTCGATGTGTTTCCGCCACACCACACAGTGGTGGTCAGTATTTATGTCTCGAACCAAACATTGTACATGACTTGGTAGAGATATATGATACCGAGCATACAGATATAATGCCTCTCAAAGAAGTTACAGATGTAAGCTACCGAGCATACAGATATAATGCCTCTCAAAGAAGTTACAGATGTACGCTTCCAAGATATAATGCCTCTCAAAGAAGTTACATATTTACACTACAAAGCATACAGATATAATGCCTCTCAAAGAAGTTACAGATGCACGCTACAAAGCATACAGATAAAATGCCTCTCAAAGAAGTTACAGATGTACGCTACAGAGCATACAGATATAATGCCTCTCAAAGAAGTTACAGATGTACGCTACCGAGCATACAGATATAATGCCTCTCAAAGAAGTTACAGATGTACGCTACCGAGCATACAGATATAATGCCTCTCAAAGAAGTTACAGATGTACGCTACCGAGCATACAGATATAATGCCTCTCAAAGAAGTTACAGATGTACGCTACCGAGCATACAGATATAATGCCTCTCTCAAAGATGTAGCTATTACAGATGTACGCTACAGCATACAGATATAATGCCTCTCAAAGAAGTTACAGATGTACGCTACAGAGCATACAGATATAATGCCTCTCAATGAAGTTACAGATGTACGCTACAGAGCATACAGATATAATGCCTCTCAAAGAAGTTACAGATGCACGCTACAAAGCATACAGATATAATGCCCCTCAAAGAAGTTACAGATGTACGCTACCGAGCATACAGATATAATGCCTCTCAAAGAAGTTACAGATGCACGCTACAAAGCATACAGATATAATGCCTCTCAAAGAGGTTACAGATGTACGCTACCGAGCATACAGATATAATGCCTCTCAAAGAAGTTACAGATGTACGCTACAAAGCATACAGATATAATGCCTCTCAAAGATGTTACAGATGTAAGCTACAGAGCATACAGATATAATGCCTCTCAAAGAAGTTACAGATGCACGCTACAAAGCATACAGATATAATGCCTCTCAATGAAGTTACAGGTGTACGCTACCGAGCATACAGATATAATGCTTCTCAATGAAGTTACAGATGTACCCTACAGAGCATACAGATTAAATGCCTCTCAAAGAAGAAGTTACAGATGTACGCTACAAAGCATACAGATATAATGCCTCTCAAAGAAGTTACAGATGCACGCTACAAAGCATACAGATATAATGCCTCTCAATGAAGTTACAGATGTACGCTACCGAGCATAGAGATGAAATGCCTCTCAATGAAGTTACAGAGGTACGCTGCCGAGCTTACAGATATAATGCCTCTCAAAGAAGTCAAATACAGATATAATGCCTCTACAGATGTATGCACGCTACCGAGCTTACAGATATAATGCCTCTCAATGAGAGTTACAGATTACGCTACCGAGCATAGAGATGAAATGCTAATGAAGTTACAGAGGTACGCCGAGCTTACAGATATAATGCTAACAGATGTTCGCGATAAATGCCTCTCATGATTACGAATGTCTACCGAGCTGTGTTCGTGATTACGAATGTCATGGATTATCAGCTGCACCCGAAAACCAAGAGCCCAAATTTAAGCTTTCTGAAGACTTGTTTGTACCACACCTAGCAAGATGAAAAGTAGAAGCCTCGATTCGGACCACGAAGCAGTAACATGATATCGGGATGAAAAACGCCGTCATGTAAGTGATCCTGGTGCGTCGCTTGGATGCTTCCAGTAATATGTATCCGCTGTTCAGTGAAATGTGTACCTCACCATTAATCCTTTTCAAAAGACGTACACTTTTGCGCGATAGAATAGCCTTCCCCGGGAGTGTTCGGGAGCCGCTAAGTGTATATATAGTGTGAGCGTCACTCATCTCGCATTTTTTTCAAATTGCAGTCTCTTCATCCTGCGTACAGTCTACGCAACGGGCCAGTGACACAGGGATGCTACTAACCAACAAGTGTGCTTCGTTCACTCAGACACTGTAGACATGGGTGTGCAGGGACGGATATGCTGGGCGGTGGTGGTGTTGACGTTGTGCATGGGGGCCGATGTCGTAGCCGTGACGTTTGAAAACAATGGGTACGATTTACTGGTGGCCATCCACAGAAATGTTACACAGGATCCGCGGATGATAACACAGCTACAGGTGCGTTGTACATAGTCGTGGTTATGTGCTGTATAGACCTGATGGAGACCTTACTCCTTCTGTTGACGTGTTACCGTGTAAACACTATGAGTTGTGTGTAGATATAGGTGTCTTTATAGTGGAACACGTCAACACTACCAGTAGTATGTAGATACAGGTGTCTACACAGTGGAACATGTCAACACTACCAGTAGTATGTAGATACAGGTGTCTACACAGTGGAACACGTCAACACTACCTGTAGATACAGATGTCAACACAGTGGAACATGTCAACACTATCAGTAGTATGTAGATATAGGTGTCGATATAGTGGAACATGTCAACACTATCAGTAGTGTGTAGATATAGGTGTCTACACAGTGGAACACGTCAACACTACCTGTAGTATGTAGATATAGGTGTCTATATAGTGGAACATGTCAACACTATCAGTAGTGTGTAGATATAGGTGTCTATATAGTGGAACACGTCAACACTATACGAGTAGTATGTAGATACAGGTGTCTACATAGTGGAACATGTCAACACTACCAGTAGTATGTAGATACGGGTGTCTACACAGTGGAACATGTCAACACTACCAGTAGTATGTAGATACAGGTTTCTACATAGTGGAACGCGTCAACACTATACGAGTAGTATGTAGATACAGGTGTCTACACAGTGGAACATGTCAACACTACCAGTAGTATGTAGATACAGGTGTCTACACAGTGGAACATGTCAACACTACCAGTAGTATGTAGATACAGGTGTCTACACAGTGGAACATGTCAACACTACCAGTAGTATGTAGATACAGGTGTCTACACAGTGGAACATGTCAACACTACCAGTAGTATGTTAGGTGAGGCGAGGTGAAATTGGGTTTTACGTCGTGCTTGAGACGACGTGCATGCGTGTGTGTGTGTGTATGTGCGGCTGCTTGTACTAGCCCAGACTCAAGCTGGTTTTATAGTGCTACCCCACTGAGATACCATGCCGCAGTGAAGCATGAATACCCCACTCAGACACATTATACTGACTCCGAGCCGACCAGTCCTTGTTGTACCCATTAATGCCGAGCGCCAGGCAGGGACCAACAAGTACCATATTTTAACGTCTTTTGGTATGACGCGGTCGGGGATCGAGCCCGCGACCTTACGCTCTCCGGGTGGACGCTCTAACCACTACACCACGGAGGCGGTCGTGCAGTATGTAGATACAGGTGTCTACACAGTGGAACATGTCAACACTACCAGTAGTATGTAGATACAGGTGTCAACACAGTGGAACATGTCAACACTACCAGTAGTATGTAGATACAGGTGTCTACATAGTAGACACATGTCAACACTACCTGTAGATACAGGTGTCTACATAGTGGAACGTGTCAACACTACCTGTAGATACAGGTGTTTACATAGTGGAACATGTCAACACTTCGAGTAGTATGTAGATACAGGTGTCTACACATAGGGATGTTTCGACATTAAGAGTTGTATGTACATACGATATTGTATATTGTACATATTTTTAGTTAATTTGTTTTATCAGTGTCTCATAAGCCAATGTTATGGCTGGGTGATATGTTTTATATAAGCATTTGAAATGTTGTTTTACCTGTAACATATCATGTGACACTTTAATCAAATATATTTCTGTCTGTCTGTCTATCGGTCTGATATCCTACACACAGCAATGGGTAACACTTTGACACGCCTGTCCATTACATGTCTGCCATTACATTCTTAAGTATTACTGAAGCCTTGCTTGTTGTAACATTTATAATTGATCAAGCAACCTTTGAGCAAGGTATACTCTTTGAAAGTATCGTAGAAAAAAGATCATTATTGTATTTCGAACGTTGAGTAATGAAGACACCAAAGATTCTTCAGTAAGGGAAGGGCGGTTGTTGGAAGTGTATGGATCCTGTATCATCCCAAATTCGTGCCCTGGTCTAAATGCGAGAAGCCGTTTTCATTTTTCACATTTTGTCCTGAACCATCTAGAACGTTATGTGTATTTATAGCTACAAATGGGCCATAGATCTATCAATGATCTTTTTCAGAGCATGTTTACCTCTGCCTCGGACTACCTGTACACTACAACCCGGAAGTTCACCTACATTAGACGTGTGACCATCTTAGTACCAGACACGTGGACCAAAGATCCAAGCTGGAAAGACGAAGGGGAGATAACCTTTACTGATGCAGATGTCAGAGTGGATTCGTCTCACTCTCTACAGGTAATATTTAGGGCTATTATTTATGAAAGAATTGGCATATTATATTTGTCATTTTCACAACCTTACCAAACAATACCATTTTCTTCCATATCAGCTAAAATAATGTTATAAGCATGTGGTTTATGTTGTGTATTGCCTCTCGCGGTGATGTAATGTTGTACTGTGATGTGACGTAGCAGCTGAAACAATGATGATTGTAGTCTTTGAAGCATCGATTATGACGTTGTAGTATGTCATGTATCCCGACTGCGTGCAACGATTGTGTAGTTCATTATGAATCCCGATTCAATGCATCCTCATTGTATTCCGCGTGCATCGACTCACTCATCTATTATGGTATTATGACGCCACAGGTCAATCGTACATTACACAAATAAATATGAAAATATAGCAGTTATACATCAACTGAAGTATAATGAGTGAGTGAACGAGTTTAGTTTTAAAGGCACAATGTCACACATTTTCGACAATATGTTGGCCTATGTTTTATATATTGGGGGCATTTGTACTTGAGGCGAGCAGCTTCCAAACAGATAATACATGCCCTATATGGAATGTAAACGATTGCTTTATAGGATATTCGTAAACAGCGCTCCAAGGGAATAACTCTATGGGGTTCGCTTGAAATAATATTCGGCCGGTAGAGGGCGCGAGAGTCGATTTAATGCAACGCTGAATTAATTCATTCGAACGTGTTAATTTAATATTGTAATCTAAATACGTATTTTTTGGAATAAATTACATGTACATGGTAGATTCCCCGAGGCTGATAGTTAGTATGATTGAGAGAAATGCATTATGGTTTTTTAGAGGCATGTGGTGTGACACTCTGCCTTTAAGCCACGTTTAGCAAAATTAATATTCCAGTAATATCACGGCGGGGGACACCAGAAATGGGCTTCACACAGTGTACCCATGAGGGGAATCGAACTCGGGTCTTCGGCGTGACGAGCGAACGCTTTAACCACTAGACTACCCGCTCAAAAGCGGACCTATGAATCGCAGTCTAACTCGAAATCTAATAAACATATAATACACAGTGAAACGCTGATCATAATAGAAACATCGGACCAACGCTATAAGATCTTTTGCAGAATTTGTGTCCTAAAAATTAAAAAGTGTGTAACAAACTATCAGTGAAATATTGTCACAGAGAGATCGTCTGAATCCAACTCTGATTCTGAACAACTGCTGTCCACTCTGACGACGACTGGCCTAATGGTGGCATGGCCTGAAGCACTCTCTTGCCAGTATTTAGTTTCAATATCTTTTTCCACTTTTTCAACACATCTCTGCCATTTTTCTTGCAAGATGTTACTGATGGATTGCTGCACGTTTCTGCACATCACCAAGTTTAAAGGTGGCGTTATTTCTTCCCACTTCGGACTTAATGATACCCTAGATCCGGGGTTTCTTTCACCCATTCTTTAATATTGCACTAAGGTTACCTTAGTGACTTACGATCATCACCTTAGTGCTTTGTGAAAGGAGGCCCAGCTCTATGGGGTTAAGGTCATAATGGTAGGGGGAAGACGAAGCACTTCATGACCATGACTCGTTAAGTATTGGTGAACCTGATACACGGGGTTATTTTTATTTCCTTATTAATTCCGTACAAAACAGGTTTTGTTACCTTTAATGGAATTGACAAACCATTTTTTCTCAAGCCATGCCAACATACCCCCCTTCCTGCTGTCCCCGTCCCTGACCACCAAGGTTTTGGGCGGCAAGGCGTGAACAAGCTGTTTTCGTAGCCATTCTAAAAGCACCTCTCATAGTCACGAATGTCTTGGATTTTGCTTTAAATACAAGCGAAACCCAGGCAAACCCCCCTGACTTTTACATCCTGCATGTCACACAATCAAACGCTCACCCTTGCCAAGTGGGAGTTTTCGTACGCATGTTTCTGTTGATGTACTTGCAACCCATTGGGTACCTACGGTGTGACTGGCATTCTCCCACGTTTCATCAACAGATTCGAAACCTTCATTGCGTTTTTGCCTAATTGCTCGCAAGTCAGGGACGTAGCTACCATTATCAAAAAACCTGGGCTTACACAAGACTGTTGCCAAACAGGTTGGGCAAGTCCTCAATACTATCTAAATATAAAGCTGTGCAACCTATCGGGCTTACACGAAACAAATGGCTTGCTACGCGCTTGCTAGTAACTATTTCGTAAGCAAATAATGTCGGATCTTTCAGAGAGAACACGCGTATTCTTCCCGCTAATCTTTTTATAACGAAACCCAAATTTATCTAGCAATAACCATAACTGATGTATGCAGGGAATGGTCAGTCTCCATGTGCTTCTTTAAAACACGCAAGGAAAGGAATTTATTTTCGCCAATTAACCTCCTAATAGCATTCCGAACAAGTTATTTTTGAACGAATCAAGTTTTTCTACTTTCACTGGTTTTGAGACAGCCCCTTCAGGGCCCACTTGCACAAAGCGATCCTAGCGCTACGACTATCTGGGGTATTCTCGGGACGTGGAAACCCTGTGTCGTGTAAAAACAAAGTCCAGACAAAAAGTGTCCACTTCGTGCGAATGGGTTACTGAGCTAATGAACGCCAGACAATAGACAGAGAGTGTGATTGCAAGACTTCGGGCAATACTAGATTGTGAAGTTATATGGAAACGAAACAAGTTTCTTTTTTTCAGTTTTAATAAATAAGACACTGTGTCGGCAAACACAATGACTCTGATGTCCCCACGGTCCAATCTGACTACCTCTGTGACCTGGTTCCTACATTTGTCTCTGAAAACAGTCAATATGATCTCCGTAATAGATATATGCTACAAACAATAAATTAAAGGGCTAAAATATATGAACAATCGTTCCTTCCTGACTCAAGTAAAATTTAGAATTCATACCTAATAATTTCGTATTCGCTAATTCAATCGGTGAATTCAAATCTCTGCTTAAAAATGATGAATCAAATATTTATCTAGATCTGAATTATGGCAGTCGGTTCTGTCAGATCATACACTGTCAACTTAAGCTCTGCTGTAGTGATTTGAATGCGAAAGTAACTAGACACATTTCTAACAACCCTGGACGCGCTTGTGAATACCACAATGAAGATACTGTTTACTATCTTTTTACATGTAAGTTATACACTGCTGTTGGAAATAATACCTCTTCCTATGTAAATGGCCATAGCCTCCAAACTGTGTTATACGGAATACCTCCAGCTAACAACGGTGTCAATAAGAACATAACAGAGTCCCTGCATCAATACATCTTTAAGTCCTAACAATTTGATAAATTATTCTATACTAATATATGTAAACAATAATAAATGAAGTGTAACTGCAGGCTCAAGGTTTATTAGCACCTACCACGCACATATATGATTCTATTTGTCGTTTTGTGTATCAGTTCTTGTGTGTTTTGTTTAAATGATGTATGTACTGGTGAGATATGGATACAAGCAAAGTTCTACTTGTTTACCAAACCAGATTCTTCAGGAATAAAAATATGTTTAAACCAAACATTTTCTGAGTGAACTCACTCACCTATCATAGTCACATGCTTACAAGAGTGAACAGAGTTCATGAAACCTTAACAATTCCGGATAACAGTTCACATTTTAACACTTCCCAGTTCATTAATCCCTTACAAAAACAACAGACGACATCAAAGGTACACCGTCTGTCCACGTCCTGCGAATGCAAAATTTCAGGTTGTTCACGTCCTGAGAATGAAACCGTGAACCGACTATCTTAAGCCTATGTTGGAGAATGGGAGTTGCAATCATTGTAGCGCTAAGATCGCTTTGTGCAAATGAGCCCAGGTGTGATACTGTTGGCTAAAAGGCCATTTCTGCTGCTCTGTACGTGTTTTCATTGTCGCTCAGACATCCCAACAGCACAAGCTGTGCGTTTTACATATTTAGAAATTGCATGTGTGAGTCCACTCCTCTGTGATTCAGCCTTGAAACAATCATAGACTTTGTAAATAATGGGCAGTAACTTCATGCGGGTCTTATATCGTGTTTATCTCTCAGCAGAGGTAGGTGAATCAAAACCTTTGTCGGCACGTGTTCACGTGCTTCTAGTTCCTCTTTGCACTCCTGCCTCGTAAGAAATATTGACATGTGACAATATTTTGATGATAGTTAATTCTGCAAAAGAAACTCACAGAGTTGGACATATGTCTTGATTATGTTCAGCGTTTCACTGAGTATTACATGTCAAATACTTTTCGAGTAATTTTGCACTTCATCGGTCCGCATTTGAGCCAATAGTAAACGCCAAGTGCCCGATAAACTACGAAACAGAAGATTCCATATTTTGGCCTTGTGAACAAGATCATAAAAGATTTTTGAAAGGCAGCTCTTGCTACAAAGAAATTCTTACATGTTATCATACAGTGTATTTTTATTATTTCGACACAGTAAATTAATTCTTCATTACATTCACAGGGCAATACTCCTACACGTTCCAACCAGGGCAGTGTGGGCAGCCAGGACGCTATATCCTTCTGACACCCGACTATGTGCTGGACAAGAGACAACGGTCGTGACATCAATTATGGGGATGCAGGTAGGTGGAGTGTTACCCTGACAATCAACAATAAACTGGAAAAAAACCCAGAACAGAGCGCTCCAGCCACCATCATTGCTAATTAATCCTATCTGCTATGTATACTTTGTTCTGCCTCCTCAACTTAATCTCTGTTACATATCTATAAGTCGGTTCTGTGCTGTATTACTTCAAAATTTCTACTTTTTGTTCCCCCTCATTTTTTAATAAGTGTACTACCCCGTCGCCGAAATACCTTAGTTGTGCGACGTTATAATGAAGCAAATACCTATAACAGCTGTATTACTTCACTCTTGCTTCACTGTGTAACAATCTATACCAAAACGTCGCATCATAACAAAGAAATTTGTTATCCATACAAGTATCGTACCTTTCTTATTATTCATCAACTTCTAAAATGCCAATCAAACAGATCACAATGTGCTTCATTTGTATTTTTTACTAAGCTAAAGTATATGGTACGTTATTTACACATTCTTATGTTTAGTAAACGCCGCACTCTAATTTGTTCATGATTTTGTTTCCAAACACGAAGGTCGTGTTCTGGTGCACGAGTTCGCCCATCTAAGATTTGGCGTATTTGATGAGTACGGCATCCCCGGTAGCCGCCAGCACCCAGTCTATTACGTAGATGACACAGGGAAGACCGTACGCCCCACTGCCTGCTCCACCGACATCACCGGTAACTTTATCAATGAAGTGAAAGACTCCAGCTGCGAACCTGTCGACAGTAAGGATGTGGTGAATAAAGACTGTTACTTTCTCCCAAACGCCTTCGACAACACGGCCACAACGTCTGTCATGTATGCCCAGTTCTTGAAGGAGGTAAACAGATTGAGTTGAGTTGGGTTTTACGTCGCATCGGCATTATTTCAGCCATATAGCGACGACGAGATCAAGTATTCATTCATAAGCATTTTTCCGATTTGAATTCCAGAATAATTCTTTTGTTCGCGAATGCATAACTCAATTTGTTGATTACAGCTTAGAAAGTCTTCAGAAACATATACACGTGTTTGTAACTAAATGGATGGCAAGGCACCAGCGTTCGAAACTTAGGTCCTTAGCCCCGAGGCCAACTGAAAACCATTCACTCCCACAGCTATTGTTTTCTGCAGGTCCCTTATGACCGACGGCTTTTTCATCCCCCAATAACTAAGAAAATTATTTCCATATTAAAATATAGGGCCTACACATTCTGATCAGGAACCACAACCTTTTTATGGTTCTGGGTCCTTAGGGCCTGCAGCTTTTCAGGGTTCAGGACAAACACTGTCAGGCTAGGTAACTTTGGTGAGTGCATATCATCTATCCCAGTGTTACCGGACATTGCTTTTATATAAGTCATTGTCTGATTGTGATTTGATCATTCATACACCAGTGACCAGTGCCATTTAGCCGAAATAGCTGGGGGCTAACATCAACTATATTGCGTTTATTTCGTTCGTAATACGGAATACGTTGCAAGCTTGGAAACTGACACAAACAATTGCCCTTGAAACTATCAACTATTACGCAAGAAAATATGCATTGATTGTGCCATTGCTTCTTTTCTTGCAGTTCCAATAGTAATAAAAGTTAAGTTGTTAAGTTTAGAATACATTATATCTCCGAAAACTGACGCAACATTTTACCTTCTAGGTGGTTCACTTTTGCGAAAGTGACCCTGACAGTGGTAGAATGGACTTGATTCATAACCCCAATGCCCCAAACAGGCATAACAAAATGTGCAGCGAAAGGGGAACTTGGGACGTCATCAGTGAACATACAGACATAAAGGGAGGTAACCCAGTGGACATTAGTAACCGAGCCCCACAGTTCAACGTTGTCTATCGCCAGAGAGAGGCGGTTGGCAACACAACCATTTGTGGACGTAGAATCGTTCTTCTGTTAGATCTCTCGGGGTCGATGAAACAGGTAAGCAACCATTTCACGCATCTTATTGAATACTTTTATTGTCTTGATAAAGTACGCGATCATGACATGTAAATGTTCCGCTTAGTATGAGAACAAATAAATACATGTTTATGACAAACATTCAATGCAAGAACGCCTCTTTAACACTTGCCACATCCCACAATTTGCATGTCTAATGAATTAATGCTAAAAAATTCGAGCTAATTTGCGAGATGACATTTAATCTTATCTTGTATAGGATAGATTTTGCTGGAATGAAACGAAAGTAGGATTAGGGACAAAATGTACCAGTACAGAAATTGTTCATTAATTGATGACACAAATACAATTATTGGTACCTGGTGTTTCCATGTAATCATCTTGTATATTAACAAAACAGACATTTTAATGATATTGCCATGACTCCATGACTGTGACAGAATTCCAGATACTTCAGACTGCGGCAAATGGCTGATCGGATCATCAGGGACATTCTACCTGTCGGCACAGAAGTGGGGATCGTGGTGTATTCCAGTTCTGCCAGAATCTGGGCCAACATGCGTTTCATCACATCCCCTGCGGACAGACAGATGCTGGCCCAGGGTCTGCCGGACATAAAGGACTATGCTGGTACTACAGCTATAGGATTAGGTCTTCTAAAAGCCATTAAGGTACAGATGTATGATTGTCTTTTCTCATAAACATAACACTGGCTGTATGGTCACAAGCAGGTTTGCGAAAATATGGATTTGATCACGTGGATAGGCAGATTTAAAGAAAGAATGCTAATTATGTACCTGTACAACACACGGCCGAATGCAGTACAAGGGACATCAAGTGTGTCGCTGATGCTTCAGCTATGGACATGCTCACAACGTGACCGCCATAAAACGTTCTGAGAGCTTAATTGAGTGCTTGGATGCTCTGACAATGATCTTACACCTTTTGACCAAGAGATGTATTCTGCTGTTTAATGTTTTTTCGTTAAAGATTATACTCGATTGCACCAGGCACGTTTCGAAATGTTGACACCAAGGCTTGATTTTCTGGGATAATGTTCGAGATGAAAGGAAAATAAATTATTTGAGAGTAAGGTGATGCCCTCTTCTTGAGAGATTTTGTCAATCTGAATCTTTGAGTTGACATAATTCTTTCTTTGTAGTAGTCTTATTCATAGTTCCAGAATACGGGGATCTCAGATTACAAATATAACCGTCCAGATAATACATTTAATGAAACAATTTAATATGCAGTGAGGACATGCTCGCTGATTCCATCGTACTCAACAACTTGGATATGAATATCTAGTTTGTCAGATACGGCTGGAAATGTTTCAGATGCGGCGTCAACTTGAGACAAACAGTGATCATATGTTCTATGTATCTAGATGCTAAACGGCACGGGGAAAACGACAGAGAATGGACGAATATTCCTCGTCACTGATGGAGCGGAAAACGTTAGTCCGTTTGTGAGCGCGATCTTTTCCGATATTACAAGCTCCAAGGTTGTTGTTCATACCATGGCCTATAGTGATGCTGCTGCGGAAGTCCTACAAAGACTGTCAACAGTAACAGGTAAGCAGGAAATGACATACATTTTTGCAAGTGACATGTGAGTGAGTGGTTTAGTTTTTAGTAATATTCCAGTAACATCACGGCGGTGGACACCTGAAATAAGCTTTACTCATTCTGCCCATGTGTGGAATCGAACCCAGGTTTTCGGCGAGACGAACGAACGCTTTGACCACTAGGATACCCCACCGCCCCTTGCAAGTGGCAGGAGGTTGGTTTATATTATCCCAGACAACCTGAATATCATGGGTTTAATGACATTTCTGTTTGTGCCAGTAGGTAAGTATTCATTTTATCAGACCGTCTCCGTGATATAGTGGTTAGAGCGTCCGCCCGGAGAGCGGAAGGATCCCGGGTTCGATCTCCGACCGCGTCATACCAAAAGACGTTAAAATGTGGTACTTGCTGGTCCCTGCCTGGCTCTCGGAATTAATGGTTACAACAAGGACTGGTCGGCTCGGAGTCTGAGTGGGGTATTCATGCTTCACTGCGGCATGGTATCTCAGTGGGCTAGCACTATAAAACCAGCTTAAGTCTGGGCTAGTACAAGCAGCCGCACATACACATACACGCATGCATGCACGTCGTCATATGAGGCGAAATATTCTCAAGCACGACGTGGTATGTGACAGGAGGTACGTATTCATTTTATTCAGAACCCAGACAACCTGAATACCATGGGTGCTTAATGACATTGTGGTATGTGACAGGAGGTAAGTATTCATTTTATTAGGAACCCAGACAACCTGAATACCATGGGTGTTTAATGACATTGTGGTATGTGACAGGAGGTAAGTATTCATTTTTGTTAGGATACCAGATATCTTGAATGTAATGGATTCAGTAATGTTTCATTTGGCAGGCGGTCAGTATTCGTTCTTTGACGAGTCGTCCGGTTCGACAGCTCTTGCGGGTGCGGCAGAGCGGCTTCTGAAAGACATCAACCTCTGCGACGAGGACGATGATGATATTGAGGTAACCGAACTACCTAGCATGTGATGTGAACAATTCAAGTTCATATTATTGCTTCCAGGGCAGAAAAAGATGCCAACATCCGACTGATTAGGGTGAGGTGGTTGCAAATTTGTTGCTGAAGTATTTTCACACTGTCAATCACTGGCTTGGTTTGCTGTACTTGTTTGTTGACTCTAAAGTAAAATAAACATTTAGGTTTATTCCACATATCCATGATTGCTCTAAATTGTTTTCAAGATTGATCGTGGCGCATTTGTTCTAACGTCAACAAAGACGACAATCATCAGAATACTTGTGATTGACTCCACCGTCGGTAACAACACACGTTTCATCTTTACCTTGTCACAGGGTGCGGAAACAGAGGTGAATTGAAGTGATTTGTAAAATCAGACCATCTCATGTTTTAATACTCAAGAAACCTAACGAACCTGATTTAACGAAGGATTGTCATATTATCCAAGTAAGCCAATCCTATATGTTTGAAAAGCCTACATCCCAGATACTTCAGTACCGCTAAACCGTCATAAGATGACATTTCTTTGAAGCAGATTTCTTCTGAACACTATGTCCTTGTGTCGGTACTCCGATTCTCCCGACGAAGTAAATGACTTCGGGTTAACGAAATTTAAAACATCACCTGCCCTTTACTAAACAACGCTCTGCTCATTGTACACTTTACGTCAATTGTGTTCGTTTGTCTTCTCAAAAATACCCTTCATTCCCCATAGATCAAAATTGGAGATCCGTCTGGGGTTGTTTATAATTCGAATTCCAACGAATACAGCAAGGATGAGACTTTAAACATCAAAAGATTCCTTTTCCCACTGGTGAAGGTAAGACAAAAGTAAAACGTATTGCATGAATCCATCTTGAACCATGTTAACATTTACCGTGTTTTTGTATGATTGTTTCGTGTTATTATATGCACATAAAGCTATTTTTAAACAGTAAAATAGTAATGCATAGAATATAATTATATGGCCTACCAGTGTAGGAATGAAATGCATTTATCTTGACCTAATGTCACTTTTGTGTCAGATTCAATAGTATCCATTCCAGTTATGGCATCCCAGTGATTCATACATTCAATAATGCAAGATTGGAAAGAGTATTTCCTGATTCAGCTCTGATTTAATAACTAGATAGATGACTGTGTTGCATTTTCGTTATTTAGGTAAAAATGTTGTAAATATGTCGTTTACACTGATTACTGTTCTTGTACTGTGTGTGAGATTTAAAATCTCTTACTTACGCTGATTTGACAAACTGATTTCAAAATCGCTTCTGGGATGATATTGTAAGACATGGCTCAGATGTACCTGCCCCACGTCATGTCGTAACGTTTACTCCTAGACGGGAACATGGACGTATACTTTAGAACGCAACTCTAACACGGACGAAAGCATAACAGCTGTGGTGACGTCACGCCCAAGGGTTGGCACCCTGCCCTTCAAGGTGGAAACCTGGACCAGCTCTAAGACGTATGACTACTCAGGAGGTCGTAGTGGAGTCGTGGCTTACGCCTACGTTCACCAGGGATACGCTCCAATCGTCAATGCCTCAGTTGAGGTAGAGGTCTCTAGACCAGGCTTCACATTGAACATTACTCTCCAGGATAATGGCTTACGTGAGTATTATGTCTCTTCACATACTTACCTTAAAGGTCACATTCAACCCCAAAACAAACATAATTTAAACACAATTATCACTTATTCATGACATATAATATACATTGCTGATTATGAAAAAAAAACAAATAAACAAAAGTGCAATATTTTGTACTTGGGTTAACTTCTCTGGAAACGAAGCACCCGGGATACCGAACCCAGTCAGAGCGGGTGGGCGTGCTCTTAAGTGTAACGAAGACTTTCATTGGCTGGTACATTTGCCGATACACTCTAAGTGTGTGTATAGAGATGTTGGGTTTTGTAAATACATGCTCATTTTTTATGTATAACATTTTGCAATCAACAGACACCATAACATGTCATGTGTACAAGTGATTACGGCCTAATCCGTCGAATTTTGAACAGTCAGCAGTCGAATCATGCTTGAGTGGTTATGTGCTAATCGGTCAGATTTTAGACCGTGTTAACACACTGGGAGAGTCTAAGTTAATTAATTAAGGGGTCGGCTTGTATTGTATTGGATTAGACTACATGTTTTCTTGGATTAGACTACATGTTTCCACTGTGTGCCACAAGTTTAGTTTCAGCAAACTTATGTGTCCATTTGACAATATCGTCAACAATTTCAGGACAGACATACAAAGAGAGAGATTATTTTATTTATGGACCCCATCAGTCCCCAGTAGGGTATGTGCAATAACACATAAACTACTTTATAATAGAAATTCTTTCTAAATCTTAAAAGAAAAAAGGTCAATTGAAGATATCCAAACGTCCCATTAAGATAGTTCACCACTGAGCGATTCTATCACAATATTTATAGCCTTGGGATCCATTTGGACCCAGCTCCATAAGACAAGGGTTAATGCATCAATTTCAATTTTGAACAAAAGTACAAAAATAGAGAGTCCAAACATATATTTAATGCTTCAATTTCTCATTGTATCATATGAGTAGGCAAAGATGAGTACAAAAGTACAAAAATAAAGAGTCAAACCATCTAACACCCCTTTCGTCGTTTTCTTGGTATGATCCAATGTTTTGATAACTAATTTGTAGCTAAGATCACAGTGCTCATCCGTCGAATGCATTTTACTACTTTGAAATCAGAAATTCGACGGATCGGTACGCGACCGTACAAGTATCACACCTGCCTGTCTGTGTAATTACATCATGTGACAGAGACAGAACTCGGGTGCACGAGACATAAATCAATGCGTTTTGTTTATGGTGTATAGCCTGATAGGTGTTAAGTTCAAATTGCATGAAGTCAGTGATCGAAGATGTGTATTGCATATTGTCATTAGCAGACAGGCAGACAGACACAACTTTCACTGCGCATGCGCAGCACAGCTGTTTAAACCACTTTTCATCACCGCTGGGGTGAATTTAGTGAATCGTTTCAACTCCGATTTCGCGGGGTTTTTTCATCGCGTTGTTTCAACTTTATAAGTTGAATTTGCATTTTTTATCATTTGTTACCGTAAGTCCATACCGTACGTTGTGTTTTACTTTGCATGTGACCTTTAAATAGTATTTTCTTGAGCAGAGGGCACGAGGGCAGTGTCAACTTTAAGTCGACCGATCTATTTCTACCACGCTGTATATGACAAATGAAGCTGTGTTAATTATTTCGAATGCATAAGATATTTCTTTAATAAATGTTTCCGGATTTTTAGTACACCGAAGTATAATTTCATTAATCTGGATGTTTATGTTCTGTCAGTTGCTCTCAGAGCAAAGTTAATGTGGCTAGTTCGTTTGTTTCACAGTGCCTGACAACACAGCCAATGACGGCGTTTACAGCAACTATCTGCTCGGCTTCAAGTCCAACTCCCCGTTACTCTATGGATGTGAGGGTGGAGTCGGTGGAGGGAGATACTGTCATCATCAAAGCTGGAAACGCCCTGCCTAGCAGAGAACACTCTCTGTCTTTCAGAGTAAGTGTTATCTTTAAACAGCAAGGTATATCCTTAACAAGATATCCAACGCAGGCTATAACAGTGTTCATTATTCCGGTTATATCACAGCATATCAGCTTAATGTTGGAGGTAAGTCTGAAGTGAAGCTGGTCTTCGAGTTTTGGTGAAACACACGAGCATGGGTACTGGTGCAAACCAACCTACAAGCATAATCGGGACGAACCAGGATTCGAACCCAAGATCATACGTTTCTGGCGTGCCCAAGGTCCACAACTCTGCACATCCTCAGGGGGCTAGGCCTCCCCTGCCCAAACTACCATAAACGAGTAGCACACAAATTGGACCAGTTTAAAGACATGCGAACTTGTGTTTTCGTAGACCATTTTGTCCAGTTACGCCCCTTAGCCTAGCCTGGATCTGCCGATCTTGGCACGAATCGCTAATTCCCGTCGATTTTGATTTGTTGCACCATCCATGAGCGAACTTCAACAATACCAAAAGCGTCCTGAATCGGACTTCTGATCTCCATGAGGCTGACACGCCCTGATTTCACTGAACTACGGCTCTTACATAGTCCAGTTTCACCTCGTTAAGGTATCAACTTGCATACTTCATCACAAGCGAATTCAATTATCCTCATCCATGGTTTTGCAGTTTTGGTCATATTTCAGTGTTTCAAAATAATTGTGATTTTGAAAGTGAATGTTTGTGTAACGCCGTTCTATTAGCTGTACAACACCAGCCTATAATAGTATATTCAACGTCCAATGAAATATACAAATGCTCCAAGCCTTACCGCCCGACTCATATGGAAACGATAGGTTATTCAGGATCTATCCCAGAACGGAGTTTCGTGAGGATTGCAGTAATCGATGTGTAATGTTAACCCAGCTGCAGTTTTGTCATCTTACCCCTGTAGGGTTTATTGTAGGACTCAGTTGATTATATGCCACTGTGACACAAGCGTAAAGCAACATTCACTCTATTCACTCGTCCACCTATCCACACACACATGCATACATTGCATGAAAGGATGAAACAACCGTATTGGTAAAAGTGTCCTGTTGTCATTGCAAACACCACCAAAACTTTCACTGCAACGTTTTCTGATATTGATTGTGGTATGTTTTTTCCAGATACAACACCACCTGTGAGATATGAAAAAGGTAGAAGCTTTCAGCAGAACAGCTTCTCCAGATGCCATAGATATATCTGGCTATAACCCCACAGCTGACCAGCTGGATCCAGGACGAGTCACCGACCTTGACATTGCTATACAAAACAAACTCAGTCAGACCGTGACCTTGTCTTGGACTGCTCCAGGGGATGACCTGAATGTCGGAAGAGGTGAGGATCATATGTACTGAAGTAACTGTGCTTCATATATAGTTCAATGAAAGGAATTTGAAATTAGATGCATATTAATAAAGGCATCTCCTCTTCTTTAACATTGTTATTGGAAAACTGCAGGTTTTGAGCGGTTGTTTGAATCATGATACTTCCACACGTATAACAGTAACCATGCAGTGCCAAGGCCTGGCCGCTAAATCAACGCCGTTAGAATGATGCAACAGGGAATGGCCTAAAACGATATTTCTAAGCATTACGATGTTCATCACAACACGTCACCTATTTGAAGACAACATCTTCAGCAGGTCCGTTTTCATGACATAACACAGCCGATCGTATACAACCATATTGGGTTGGTGCATTTAAGAAATAGATAGTTGGCTGCCACATTAACAGCTCGTTCAATTCCTTGGTTGAAACCAATTAGTGACATCAGTCAGCCCCTACGTCCAGCGATGTACCCAGATTTCCATCCATGTCACCATCTGGAAGACAGGACAGTAAACTGTTTCAAGAAAAATACAGGCTTTATCTGGACAGCTCCGAAGATCGTGCAAGACCAGAACGCTCTGGCGACAGTTTCGTTACCACCTTCGTAAAGTTGGAAGTGGAATTGTAATGATATTGGGTAGCATCAATATACTCATGGAAGAACTCAATTCTTTCAATCAATCTTTATTCAGAACTGAATGCCACAGGGCCATAGTACACGTATATACAAAGTTCAAAAGCAGAGTGGATTTCAATTCAAAATTGTACATGTCAATTCGAAGGGCGTACACTATCGCGGCAACATATCTCAGCTTTCGATCAATTGCTGCCTTCAATTTGCCACCATTGCTTCGATCCTTGCAATGCTATAGTTGTCTGATTTCTATCCTGTTTATTGTACTGTTACACCATCCCTATTAGCCTAATAATTACCCCATGTTATATTAAGCCCAGATACTGTTTTTGTTGGTATACGTCTTGTTTTAGCTTCTTTTGTGCATAATGTCAACAGTCTGTTAACCATGTGTTATGAAATTGTAATCACACACGGAAATTGTTCATTGCAGTTGCCAAATATGAGTTGCGCGTCGCGGTGACGTTTGCGAGCCTCAGAGTTAACTTTACACAAGCTGCGATGGTTAAGAACAAAGACTTAGTCACTGGAAACATGGATCCACTTCCGGCAGGAGCGCAGCAAATGGTCACGATCCGGCTACCGAGCAACTGGTCAGAGTGCTTTCTATGTTTTGGGCTTAAAGCGTTCGACGAAGCCAGTCGCCAGTCAGAGTTGTCGAACCTTCGTTCCATCACCTTGCAGCCTCTCACCATTCCCCAGCAAAACCCTGCCCCTGAGCCGGCCAGTAGTGCCACCAACTTCTTGATATGGGTCGGAGTAGGCCTGGGAGCGGCCGTCGCTCTTGCAGTTGTACTGGTTGTCATTATCTGTATTTGCACAAGGAAATCTAAAACTAAGGAAAATCCGATATAAAGCTCTATGGCAAAGGCGATGTTGTTTTCATTTCATTTTTTAGCGTTCACGTAATTAATAAAACATACATGTGTAAGTTTGCAATATACATTTTATCGTCTGAATTTCCTAATAAAAATTTCTTCATAATAAAGATAGCAGTTATCATATTTGTTTGTCTGATGATTGTCTTGTGGCATTTCGCAGTTTGCATTTATGGCGATGTGCCATGAAATCGGCACAGGCTTGGTTTATAAAGGACTGGTTCTACGACAACATGGAGTTTACACTCGGTGTGTCGTGATGACCAGCTTTCCCGCGGAGGTCTTTGCTTGGATGAAGTGAGCTGACCGGAAATGTGAAACAGAAGGCTTTCTCTTTGCTGCACACCTACAGTCACTCTTCAACACCTTATACCTTAACTGACATGATGGCATGACTCGATCCTGGAGCTTTCGTCTTCGACCTATGTTGCGACCCAGGATCATGAAAATAGGAATATCACGACCGAGGACACCAGAAATGGGTTTCACACATTGTATCCAAGTGGGGAATCGAACGTGGGTCTTCAGCGTGACCTGCGAACGTTTTCAGCACTATGCCACCTCACCTCCCCTATCAAGCTAAGAGTGACTACAAGTGTTGTGAAGTATATATATATACATACATAGCATATTATGACAAACAGCAGGCTAACAACATCAACACCTGTATGTACTTGATAACAAGTGGTACATAATTGGACGAGGCCAGGTAAGACAACAAACTTTACGGGTCCATGAAGCCAACAAACAGGAGGGATTAAGTAAACCACAATTACTATTAATAGGGTATAGCTTGATCAACTCTTCGTAGGCCGATGGTATGTAGTACCGTTGGTCAAAGGTCTGTAACGGCGGATTTCTATTGTGAAGTCCGAATTCTTAGTGGACATGACTTCAAGTTTGTCAAACTGGATTAAACGGGTAGGAAATTTTGTTGGTGATGTGAGAGGGCTGCTTCGCTCTTTGTCATGGCTGTTTCACCTGTATAAGAGTCACTGCATTGTCTTGTATAATCTTGCATACCACTCTTTTGGGTGATTGCTTTTTGGAGGAGGGGTTACGACCATTGGCTTGGAGGATGGTTCTGTGTGATGGAGTGAGTGAACATGGTGTCGATGAATACTTGGTGCTGATTTGATGAGGGGTCTTACCAATGTATGGTAGGATGATTGTGATGGGGGCGGATTCAAAATGGAAAATTCAGTTGGAATATTGAAAAGTATTTATGTATATTTTCAGTGATAATTTAAGTATTTCCGTTCCTAGTATTACACTAATAACATATTTTGACATTTGCTAGCCACCCTACAGGCTTTGAAGAACAAATTCTCTGATTTTCAATCATTTCATAATTGTCGGCCTAAACAACAAAATAGGTCGACAGCGCCGTCAGTGTCAGTGTTCGTTAAAGATGATATTATAAAGAGCAGCTATGCAAGTCGGATGACATTATTTTGCTTCTGTCAATAACAACGAAACCTGGACAAAGATATTCCTCCGGAATCGGGGTTGGTTATTACCGAACAAGCTGCTATTAATTTCAGTTCTGGTCATGACAGCTTTTCTAAGCGTATAACGTCAAAGCTTACAGAAATTATTCCAGCAAAACTAGCGTTTAACTTTTTGCATAGAAAATATCGTTCGAAATGTTGACAAATTTTGTCTTCAATGAAGAGAAGTCGATCGGACGATCTTCCGTAATGTAACATATTATATCATGAAATAAATGTTACTTGTGTCATTTATTCTCACACAAGTAATCTTAAACCCTATCTCTTTTCAATACAAATTTACATGTATTGTTATATTTCACAGAATACTGAGGGAGTACATATCACGTTTGTCGGATTTTATACAGGCTTTGAATAGCGCTGAACTATCAGGGTTACCCTGAAGAGATTGTAAGTGACCATTCAAACCAGTGTTTCCTTGACTTATTTCTACTTCTTTAGAAATACATATCTACATACGTTGTAGAATTATTTACATATCTACATACGTGGTAGAATTATGTTTTTCAGGCGAGCAGTGGACCAACCTTTGCATACGTGTATGACAGGTGCCACGTTCACCTTTTCGCGAACACCTGGTATCATCACTGGATTGTTTGGTCTAGACTCGATTATTTACACATCGCCGTCATATGTCATACAGCTGCAGAGTTGAACGTTAATCAAACCAGCATACAATCAATCACAGGTTAAATATAGTGGGAATGGTACAATCGATTGTGACGCAATAGAACGGGCTTGCCCGTAAGAATCGTGACTTGCCTCGTGTAGTACACATTGTGTGGGCTCTTTTCTAGAAAGAGTATCTTCACAAAGCATGAGGTAATCACAGTGATACCGCCACAAACGAGCACTTCAGTGATGCAAGGGTATAACTACGCAATACGTGTGGTGCGTTCACATTGCCGCCGTGGTTGTAGAGACATGGAGGTGCAGGTTCGGGTACGCTGGGTGATGGTGTTGTTAGCCTTGTGGATCGGGGCCGATGTTGTAGCTGTTAAGTTTGAAAACAATGGATACGATCTCCTGGTGGCCATCGACCGAAAGGTTGCCCAGGATCCTCGGATGATCCCACAGTTAAAGGTGCGTAATCAATTATTCAACCTTATGTTTAATGGAAATTAAATTCTTTGAAATAAATTGATAATTATGTAGTTATGTATAATAATTGTAAATAGACCTATCGCCAACGGCTGAAGTGAAAGTATAAATTTAGATGTGGGTGCCTACACAATGTGACGTGTCAACATTAGGAGTAATGGGTAGATACGGGTGTCTACACAATGTGACCTGTCAACATTAGGAGTAATGTGTAGATGTGGGTGCCTACACAATATGACGTGTCAACATTAGGAGTAATGTGTAGATGTGCGTGTCTACACAATGTGACGTGTCAACATTAGGAGTAATGTGTAGATCCGGGTGTCTACACAATGAGACGTGTCAACATCAGGAGTAATGTGTAGATACGGGTGTCTACACAATGTGACGTCAACATTAGGAGTACCGTGTAGATACGGAGTTTTGTAATAAATTAGGAGTAATGTGTAGATGTGGGTGCCTACACAATGTGACGTGTCAACATTAGGACTAATGTGTAGATACGGGTGTCTACACAATGTGACGTGTCAACATTAGGAGTAATGTGTAGATACGGGTGTTTACACAATGTGACGTGTCAACATTAGGAGTAATGTGTAGATACGGGTGTCTACACAATGTGACGTGTCAACATTAGGAGTAATGTGTAGATACGGGTGCCTACACAATGTGACGTGTCAACATTAGGAGTAATGTGTAGATACGGGTGTTTACACAATGTGACGTGTCAACATTAGGAGTAATGTGTAGATACGGGTGTCTACACAATGTGACGTGTCAACATTAGGAGTAATGTGTGTAGATACGGGTGTCTACACAATGTGACGTGTCAACATTAGGAGTAATGTGTAGATACGGGTGTTTACACAATGTGACGTGTCAACATTAGGAGTAATGTGTAGATACGGGTGTTGTACACACAATGTGTGACGTGTCAACATTAGGAGTAATGTGTAGATACGGGTGTTTACACAATGTGACGTGTCAACATTAGGAGTAATGTGTAGATACGGGTGTTTACACAATGTGACGTGTCAACATTAGGAGTAATGTGTAGATACGGGTGCCTACACAATGTGACGTGTCAACATTAGGAGAATAATGTGTAGATACGAGGTGTTTACACAATGTGACGTGTCAACATTAGGAGTAATGTGTAGATACGGGTGTTTACACAATGTGACGTGTCAACATTAGGAGTAAGTGTGTAGATACGGGTGTCTACACAATGTGACGTGTCAACATTAGGAGAAGTGTGTAGATACGGGTGCCTACACAATGTGAGGTGTCAACATTAGGAGTAATGTGTAGATACGGGTGTTTACACAATGTGACGTGTCAACATTAGGAGTAATGTGTAGATACGGGTGCCTACACAATGTGACGTGTCAACATTAGGAGTAATGTGTAGATGTGACGGTGCAGGTGTTTACACAATGTGACGTGTCAACATTAGGAGTAATGTGTAGAATACGGGTGTTTACACAATGTGACGTCAACATTAGGAGTAATGTTGACCCAGATGCAGGTGTCTACACAATGTGACGTGTCAACATTAGGAATTAATATTGTAGATATCGGGTGCCTACACAATGTGACGAATGTCAATTGATACACAATTGAGGAGTAATGTGTAGATACGGGTGTGTTGTCACCTAATATTGTGTAGATACCAGGTGTCTACACAATGTGACATGTCATTGTGTGTAGATACGGAGTGTCAACATGACACATTAGGAGTAATGTGTGACCCATCACATTGTGTAATGGCACTCACATCTACATTACTCTAATGTTGACACGTCACATTGTGTAGGCACCCATCTGCATTACTCTATCTACATTACTCTCCGTATCTACAATGTTGACACGTCATTACATTGTGTAAACACCCGTATCTACACATTACTCTCTAATGTTGACCCGTCACATTGTGTAAACACCCGTATCTACACATTACTCCTAATGTTGACACGTCACATTGTGTAGAACACTCATCTACATTACTCTAATGTTGACCCGTAATGTTGACCCATCACATTGTGTAGGCAACCACTCCTAATGTTGACGTCACATTATGTAGGCACCCGTATCTACACATTACTCTAATGTTGACACGTCACATTGTGTAAGCACCAGTATCTACACATTACTCCTAATGTTGACACGTCACACATTGTGTAGGCACCCGTATCTACACATTACTCTAATGTTGACACGTCACATTGTGACAATCATCTACACACGTTGACACGTCACACATTACTCCTAATGTTGACACGTCACATTGTGTAGAACCCGTATCTACACACTACTCCTAATGTTGACACGTCACATTGTGTAGACACCCGTATCTACACATTACTCCTAATGTTGACACGTCACATTGTGTAGACACCCGTATCTACGCATATCTACGTCACATTGTCTTAATGTTGACACGTCACGTATCACATTACTCCTAATGTTGATACGTCACA